GAATAATGTCACTATTCAGGTTGTATTATAATTAGGCTGGTGTTAGCTGTACTAACTCACCACACATCTTTGGAGGAGCCGTTTAACCTCTCAGGACCTCAGGTTACCTTCCTTAAAATGGTTTTTCTTCCTCCTGTTGGGTGAGAATCAGAGGAGGTTACCATTGTTTGCTGAAGATTGTACTGCATTTTGGAATTGCCAGTTCTTCCAATTGCTCACGTAAGAATAACCTCACGAGAGGCCTCTGACTAGTCTGTGTTGATTGTATTTCACCACCAAATTGGGTCTGTCCGTGGCTCGCCTCCACCTGCAGTGATTAAAACACCTTGAGAAGCTCTGCTTCAGATGCAGCTACCTGGTCTGTTTTAGGGTGATGGGATTTATTTCTAGTTTTAGGAATTTCTAGGGAAGGAGTTCCAACACATTCTCTGATAAGTTGCTATTTAACAATGTAACTGTTTAACAAATATCTTGGGAAAGGAAGGAGTCTGAGCAATTTGTGCTACATACCGACCCTCATAAAGACTGACTACACCCCTGGAGCTTACAGCGTGCCTCTGTGTGCCAGCGAGCTGACCAGGAGGCCGAGAGAATTAGAAGTGTCGTTATCTATTACATATTGAGCTAAGAAGCTGAAGGAAACTTTACTTTTCAGTGATCCCTGAACTACCTTTAGGATAAAATTCAAACTACAAAAGCCACTGGATACTTCTTGTATCTCCCACTTTATGCTGACTTCCAGTTTAAGATGGAAGATTGAGCACAGAAATCCCCCTTTTCTTTGCAAGCACGTAGACATGATAGAAAAATAATGAATACAGAGCTTCACTCAAAAACAAGAAGAGCTCTTCACGTACCTGGATGGAAAAGTGTCCTTGAAAGAAGGAGCAGATCAAAACCTACAGCAGGAAGTAAGTTGGATCCCTGTCATCCTCAGGGCATAGAGACTGAAGTCAGGCACACAGGAGAGGCAGGAATGTTGGTATCCATAAGATGCCAGGGGCTGCACAAAAGCCTCTGCTTTAAAACTGGGCTCACGGCTAAAGGTGAATGAATCAATTCACACACATACATACACACACACACACACAC